TAATGATGCTGTGTGTCTTGGAAGTAGGCAAGATTACATTCAAGAGAATTTCTCCTGAAGAGCTTTGAGATCTTCCATAGGCACTTTCAATGAACATCCATACTGCCTTTTGAAGATTTCCCATGGAATACTAGCAATGATTATATAAATACAGATTGGCCCTGTGGTATTATTCCCAGCCAATCTACCCTTCATATTCCCTTGGACATGTGCTTAATGAAGGATCACCAGCATCTTTCCAGTAACAGCTTATATTATGGTGGTGTTTCTAAACCAAAAGATTATATTAACATTAGTGCTATTAATATATTGGAAGAACAACTCATCTAACTTACCTTACACATGAATCAAATAATGACTAGTTTCCAACTCCTACCTTGAACCTTCCACCATGCCCTTAGCAGTAGCTTCCGAGTTATTTAGAGCACCATAGTACAAGATAGTATATGATGAATATTCTAGAAAAACGTCAGTATATTTGTTCCTTGATTGGAAAGAATGGTCAGTTTACCCAGTCCTTAAAGACTGTCCACAAGTGAACTGAAACTCACTTTCCTTTTCTGCTTAGTGAATATCACATGACAGAATATTTTATGGCAATCTTACCTTCAAAACTTGATTATATCAATCAAAAGTCTTTAGTTTCTGCTTCAAGATTGCTTTTCAGCTTGATTCACTAAGGTGTAGGCACTAGATGGTCGGTTTTAGCAATTCTAACATGGTTGGTTTTTTTTTTCTTCAATTTACAGTGCAGATACTTTTCCTTGGGAAACAAAAGAGAGAGAAAATGTTCTTTCTGATTCTCATTTTTATAACATGAATCTCAATTTTTCTATTTCATGAAAATGGATTTCAAGTGTTAGAGCCAAATTGTTTTAGAATTTCTCACAAGGATTGTATTAACAAAAAGAATCCAGAAAAACAACATATCTGAATCATTTGCTAAGCTAATGAGTTTTTAAACAGAAATGTGGATATTACCATCCTTATATTGTGAAAGGCTGAAATCTAATATTTATCAGAGTTTTGGAGATAACTTGTCATTCTGAACAGAAGAGTTCATTGACACCATCTAGAAGCAGATTATCTCTAGAGCAAACTACATGTTCATGAGCCTTATGCAGATCAGAATAACTTGCTTTGGGGAAAATGAAGACTAAAAAAGAATAGGGGAGTGAATCCCTCTCCATACTGAGTCTGGAAGAACATTTATACTATATTATTGATCTCCATTTCCATACTAATAGCTACTGGATACTCAGTGCCATGCAGCGTCTATAACATGTAACACCATTTTCTCCATTTTACCAATCAGGAAACTTAGAGAAATTAAGAACTTATAAAGTGATAGAATTTGAGGTCTGGCCTGAGCTCTGCTTATGTGTACCATATTTTATATAAATTTCCCCTTAATAGCTATTTTCTAGGCTCTTAATAGATAATTTGAAATCTAAAATAACAATAGGGTAATTGTAACCTATGTATATTTCTGATATCAACACATCACTTATCTTTAAAGATGCCTTTTGTGCTATGTATGTTATGTTCTCCTTATCATGTACATAGGCGTCTGTGAAGTCCAGTTAAGGAGGTAGCATAGTGAGACTTCAGTCTATTGTCCCATATGACCCAGTGTCCCTGAAGTTTATTCCTGAGTGTTTGACCATCTGCAAATGATGATCTCTTTCCCGCAATGCTTCTTAAGCTCTGATGAAGGTGTTCCTCTGGGAGTGAAAGGGCCCGCAACCAAAGCATACAGCAGTCATATCCTCTCATGGAGGGATCTCTAAAGAGCAAATGTGTTATCCCATTAGGTTTCATGCTTCCATAAGCTTCAGCATGACCTTGTTAAACCACGAGGGAGCCACTGGAGTGACACACTCGTCAGCTGAAAGAAATCTTGGAGGCTACTTGTCCAGCATCTTTGTCTTAGGTATAAGGAAAATGGAATTCTGGCCAATTAAGAGCCAGATCGCTCATAAGTGGTACAGCTGAGACCAGAATTCCTCATCTTATGACTCTCAGGGCCACTTGCCTCATAATGAAGTACCATTCTGAAGAGCTAGAAATTCTCCTAGCTGATTGGAGAATAAAATGAAATCAATAAATTTGCAGCGGTTTTCCCAATACAGTACAAGTTCTTTTGGAGTACTGTAAGACTGTGCTGTCTGCACCGTTTTTCTATTTGTAACAAGTTACCCAATGGTTAAGAATTCTCAGAGGCTTCATTACATTTGGATTTGATAAGATGGAATGCATCTCAGTTATGCTATCTGTACACTTTCCAATGAGCCTAATTTACTTCAGGGAATTAAGTGTTTGTTATTATTTATTGAATCTTTAACTTAATGCCAGGTTATTAAAAGAAGCAAAAGAATAAGAGAGTAATATGATAATTTTTATTGTTTTCTAAGCTGACCATGAAATTATAAAACAAGGTATTTTTTAAAATTTAAGATGCAATATCAAGTTTTTTAAAATCTTGTGTTTGACCATATATGTAAACACATATGAATAGACAGTAACCAGATATTTGAGTTTGGAAGCCACGGATATTAATACCGATTTCTCAGGATGCTTTTACTCTCTGAAAAGAACACATAGCATATACTATTTACCCCATTGGATGATTGGTATAAGGAGTTGTCCATCGTTCAGGAAGGCTAGCAACCCTACATAACAACAGCTATTAGGGGGAAAATATCTCTAATTATATTTTCAGGCAACAACGATTTCCATTGCCCAAGAGGCTATCTTAGTGACACAATATGGGGGAGATAAATGATATTCTATGCAGAATTATAGTCAGGGAACAGATAATAATGACTGTCCACCTTGTGAATCCCGTACAGGTCAGGTAAATTATCGATACTTTTTTTTTTAAGTTCAAGAAAGACCGATAAACTACAATCTCAAATTCCTAGAAAAAAAAAATCACAAAAACTAAGAAAAGACCTACCTAAATTAAAATAGACATCTAATGTATTCAAATAGGGAATAAAATTTAATTCATGAAATTAGTTGCTAAAATGTACTTATGAACTGTTATAAAATTGCTTAAATTTCTGTCATTCTTTAGGACAGCCTTCCACTTCATAGCCTGCAGCTGGCCTAGGGTTCACTATGCAGCTAGGCTCAGATTTATTGCATAGAAACTTTCAAGTCTTTAGCTCCCAGGTTCTCAGATTATAGGCATGCACTATTATGCCTGAAGAATTTCTTAAAATTCTTAATAAAAATCTATTAATAGAATAATAAATTAGATGGCCATGTTTATTTCATCAAGGCGCAGTCATTAAATACTAAGCATTACAGTTCTCAACACTTCCCCTCTTTATGGCCTTTATTTGTCTCTCACGAAACTAATACTAAATTTGGTGCTAACAATACAAGTAACTAAAATAAAACTAGTTAAGTGAAATATTTTAAATAAACTATTTTGGCATAACTCTCTCAAAATGTAAATGCACAGCTTCCCAAAGCCGATCATCAAAAGCAATCAGACTTATTCCACTAAATCAGTACCTACCTAGGATCAGCATGATGAAATGGAAGTCTGCAACCTCTGAATCCCCAATCTGTTTGGCATGCATGTTGCCAAGTATTTGATTATTTAACAAAGCGCAGATAGAAATGCAGAAAATATGACATTGTTTCTCTAGTCATAAATTTTGATAGCCATAGTAATACAAAGGTTTTCTTTGCTTGTGCATCCACGTGCGTGAAACCAGAGGAGGGCAAAGCTGTGGCACCAGTGGGTCTGTGAGATTAGCTTTCCCAACAAGTTAGTCAGAGTAATATGAACGTTCCATGTCTTGCAAGAATGTTATTTGCTATAATCTAATGATGGAGGAAACAATCTGGTAATACCTGCTTACAGTAGCCCAGCCACTTGATATCAATTCCTCAATTATTAGATACTTACCGAAGGTCTCTCAAAGGCTTTGTCCATCTTTGAAGAGATCTAATCTAATCAGGGAGACCAAAAGGAGATCTATGAAATTTTAACAAGCAGTACTAAAACTCATTCCAAGACACGTTATCAATGAGACGTCAGGATCACCCATAGTAATGCGCAGAGGCAAGACAGAGTCACAGCTGCCCTGAGGACTGACTGGGTGATCCCAAAGGATGACACACAAGAGATGTGTCTCCAAGCTGGCTTTAATGAATGAGATTCAATCATGAAAGAGCTGCTTTACTAGCCTTGATCTTTGCACTTAACAAAACTGCCAGATTCAGATCAACAAGTCTTAAACGTGGAGGGTTTCTTCCCTTCCGCATAGTATTTGAGGCTTTACAACCGAAAGCAGAATTGATATTTTTAAATAAAATCATGCCCTCAATTCAATTATCTCTTGTTTATAACAAGTAACTTTAGAAATGTATTTCAAGGAAAAATATCATGAAAATATACCCATAAATACAAGGCTTAGGAGTGATTGGAAGACCCTTTAGCAAGACATCAGTAATTCCTTCTCTCCTTCTCTGAGAAATTGCATGCATAAAAACAGGAAATAGATCTACTTCCTGTCAGAGATAATGGCTCACACTTAAAATATACCACAGTGGATCTCTCATGAAAGACTAATGCAACCAGTCCATATCTGTAAATATAAATTGAGTAGAATGGAAACTTCAAGTGAGAAATGATTTCTTTAGTGTTATCTTCTAGCTTCAGGCTCCAGTTTTACATATCAGTTTGGATTGCTGAAGTCCCTATTTGGTTATTTGTGTAAGAACACTCTACTTATTTCCAAAGTAAATACAAACCTTTATTAAAGAAGTAGCTATAAAAATAATGTCCATTCAATGTTTTGGGAGTCATCAATTGCTTGTTCTTGTTTGGTGTGGAAGTCATGTTTTGTTTAGGTGCATCACAACCAAGTTAAAAAACAGGCATGTGGTTGGTGTCTTTGTCCATATAGATATATTTCTGTTTAGCCCAAATGACAACGTAGTTGGAAATAACATGCCCTGGTTTCTCCCGATGCATGCAGCTCCTCCAAAGTATAATAGGATATGGCCGAATATTTCTTCCCTTGAGGTTTCTAACCCAAAACAAGGTAGGAGCATCTAAAATTCCTACTGATAAAAAAAAAAATCCCGTGTTTGGGGGAAAAGATCCTACATACCAGCTTAACACTAAATAGAGCATTACCATGGATGCCTTGTCTTTGAACTAATCATAATTTGAATCTTTTTTTTTCTAACATGAAGATTGTCCTGACAATATTGGAGTAAAGAGGGACTGGAGGATATGGGTGAGACAGCACAGAATTTATAAGTCTTGAACAAATTAACGTTGATAGCGTCCCAAAAAGCCTAGACTTTAGTTGTCATCACAGCTTAAAAATTTATGGGCACCACAAGCTCCTTCCTTCCCTTTTGACTTTTCTTAAGTAAATCACTGGTGCTTCCATTGTTTTGAGGGTCAAGATAAATAGATAAACGCAACACTAAAACTCCCAGTAGGTCTATTTTCTTTTACTGTTGCTCTATATTGACTTGGAAAACTTTGGTTCTCTCTCTCTCTTTTTCTGTCTCTGCCTCTCTCTCTCTCTCTCTCTCTCTCTCTCTCTCTCTTTCTCTCTCCATCCCTCCCTCTGCCTCTCTTCTCTGCTTCTGTTTCCCTCTCTTCTCTTTCTCACATATCTATGATAATGCATACATACACATTCTAATAAATTTTCTTGTTTGGTTACCTCTCCACCCCTCCATCTCCTTTACCAATGAACATTCTTCTTTTTTTTAACCAGTTTTTAAATTTTTCCTGGTTTCTGTCTGTTCTAAGAATAGTAATTGTTTTATGACTGCTGATATAGGAAGGAAGGAAGGAAGGAAGGAAGGAAGGAAGGAAGGAAAAAAGGAGGAAGGGAGGGAGTAATGGAGGAAGGAAAGGGAAAGGGGAGAAGTAGAAGGAGAGAGAAAGAAGTAGAGAATGGAAGAGCAGGGAAGTGGGAGTGAGGAACTGACAGGATTATGTAGAAACAAATAGAACTTTTAAAATGAATGATGAACTCCTTAGGCTGCAAGGTAATGTTAGATTCACACTGACATCTCGCCTATATGTGCATGCGTTTGTATATAAATAGGAGCTCATCTCAATAGAAAACAGTGTTTTTTTGCCTTCTTTCTCCAAAAATAAAACACTCATCACTGACTTCTGCCTTCCTTAGTTATAGACAGGATGTTCCTTTTGAACTCTAATGAATACAGATGGAGGAGGAAATGAGCAAAAGGAGGAACCAGGAAATAGCTACTAAACAAAACAAAATATATTAGCAATTTGTTGAGGAGTCAAATTGGAAGGGCTGCATTTTCAGTCCACTATCAGTGATGAAATTGAGACTGTCCTAGATACATATATTACTAGCAAATAGAATTACCTTAATCATCTGCTCTAAATGAATTTCTTCAAGTTTCTGGGTACATATGTGGAAGAATAAATACAGACCATGCAAGTCCCTGCTAGTACAATTCTCTGAGGACTGGGGGGAGTCTTAGTGGCTTTATTCCTTGGCATGTTCCCTGAGAACATCTTTGAAATGGTGCGCAGTATTTCCCACTGAATTCAGAAGTGCAACAAACATGCAAGAAAGGACCTAAGGCTTAGTACTTCTTTGCAGTGAGTCTTCAGCTGAATAAGATAATGCTTTGTTCCAATCCTGAAATGGACCCATTTGAATATTTTACTATGTTTTTTGCTGTCTTGGGACAAAAATTTTCAGAAATATCACTAGGAAAAGTCAATTGTACTTTTTGGGATTCGGATAAGGAATTCAAATGAATCTGCTTTAAAGTGTAACGCAGCTGAATTAAGAGCTTAAAATTGAAATACTAATAAATGGAATGCTGTCTAGCAGAGGTCAGTTCTGTGGAATTATCATTTTTTTCTTGCCAACATCTGCAAAGACCCCCTAGCCCCTATTCTGGTTTGGGGGATTTTTTTGTTGTTCTTGTGCTGTTGTTATTTACACAAGCAACTCATCATGAATCTTTTCATGGAAAAGAAACAGCAGGCTTCCTTAGAGAGACAACCCAATCATTAACAAAGTACACGGCACAAATGGAATACACACAAAGAGGAAATCGCAATTGTTAGAGGGATCCATGTTCAAGGTAACTCTGAATACTGCTGAATGATTGGCCATGTGACTTCGTTCTGTGCTGTCTAGTCAGTTCAACAACGACAAATGGCCTAGCTGATATGTCGACAGAGTAACAGTAAACTGATTCATTGAGGTTGCTCATTACCCCAATGATACAACAGCTACCTGTGAAGTGGGACATTCAGGGATCCTAACATCCATATTGTGATGAGGATAAGCTTTGCTCGCTGAACTCTATTTTAATGTTATTTCTCCTTCCCGCTAACTAATGATGATGTTGAACCATTTTCAGTCAAATAGAAGCCTTCCTTGTAATTGCAACAGATTTCCAGGAAGAAACTATATGAATATTCTCTTCACGTAGGGCTCCAAAAAGTGGGTTGGTAATAAGGTATTAACTACAGTTTGAACGTTTCGCTGTTTCTAATTTGCTGTTCATTTTTTTAAACCTATGCAGTTGCTCCCAAATTAGCTTTGTCAACAGTTTCTTCTGTTCAAGTTGCAAACCACAAGCGAGGTAGGAATTCTTGGATTCATACAGTGATCTCATGGTGTTATGTGTTGTGAAACATTGCACTGTATGAATCTGGAATATCTGTGAAGTGTACCCATCAGCTTATCGGTGAGGCATGTTGACTGATCCCAGCCTATGCACCAACGAGGACTGAGAACGCTATATATATATAAAAAAAAAATGGCTTCACTCAGAAATTCAACTGCAATTGAAGATGCTGCAAATTTTGTTTTCTGAAAAACTAATGAATGAGTAGGAATTATGATAGTTTAGGTTCTCTGGTAGATCAGGAATTTGAAAACACTAACTCTTATGCTGCTTTGTATTGAAAATAAGAAAAGTCTCAAGGAAGCCAGAAGGCAGACTCTATATGGTGCCCATTTCACTTTGTGACAAAGGAAATGACACAGAGTTTTTGATTCCAAACATGGTTTTTAACGAATGTGAAAAATATCCATGAAGATCTGGTCTTGATTAAGTATTGATCCTGTCACTTTCTTTACATTAAAATGAGCAGTTTGCTCATCTGTAAGTCATGAATAGCCCAGTCTAGCTAGCATTTGTCATTCACAGAATGAAGATTTTTCAGGAAACATGAAGACCATGTTTTTATTTCTTCACCAATTCCTTTTAAATGTCCTCTGTAACAGGTGTGTCTTGTTTTCCAGTCTTCGCTGTTGGGCATATGTCTTCCTCCTTGTTTCTTATTTTACCTTCCATGGAACTCGTCTTAACAAAAATCTGAACTTGATATAATCTTCTTGGTAAAATACCCAGAGAGCTTTCTTCTTACAGAATGAATTTGGCTGTTTTCAAGATTGCAGCCAATGCTGAATTTATATTGGAAGCATATAGGGAAAAGAAAAAAGTTGGTCAATAGGCAAAAAAAAAATGAATGGAAAATGATAGTATTTAAATGATATCTTCATGCCTCAAGATGTACTTTGACCTGGGAATATTGAAGATTCTCTTTGGAGGGACATGCATCCAGGTGGAGGATTTGAGGAAAGCAGTGATTAGAGGAAAGTATGATAGAAAGAGTCCCCATTCATGCTATGCAAATCTATGGAATGGAACAAAAGAGATAAAGGAGGAAGAAGACAGAGGGGACTGGTGCCCTTTTGTTCACCTTTATGCTCAGTCTACAAAGGGCCTCTTGACATGAGTTTGACTCTGTGTCCTCTAATTTCTTGAGGTCAGAGCACTAATTAGTGGCAAACACATTCCAGAAGCAGGAAAAAGCCCACTAATAGAGACTTATCATTAAAAATGTTCAGAAGATGCTCAGCGGCTGTATAAGGAGGCAAGGCAGAGTTGAGTGAATAGAAATAAAAAGAATTCTAGAGTTTCTTCATTGCCTTTGTGGGAAAGACCTCAGAGGAAATGCCATACTGTTAAATCAATGAAAGAAAAAGAGTTCCCACAATTGTTATTCCTTTGCCTTTTTTCTAAAGTGACTTTCCCCATTTTTTCTATGTGAATGCCTGATCAATAGCTTTTAATCTGAATAGGCTTTCCTTGCTTGAAAAAAAAAATACACCTAGGGTGTATTTTGTTGTCATTGTTATAATCACATGGGTGATGTATTATTATAATTATGAAGACAACAAGAAAAAAAGACATAGAAGGAAAATGCAATCTGTTCTTCTTCCTGATGTCATTTTTTCTTCAATTGACTTTGTCTCCGATTTTTCATTTTCCTGTGATTCCTATCCGCTGAGGTCTTCCACACCCAGTGTCAGTCAGATGAATCCTTGTGGAAAACTTCAGAGGGGCATGGGTCTCCGTTGCCATAGAAAGTCAACTTTGAGCTCTCTTCTTTCCTGAAGCATCTCTAGCCTGCCCTAGTGCTAAGTGGCCACCAAGAAGTACCTCATTATCATACGCACCTTGCATGATGGAACGTACACCATATATATTATAGATCTAGACATAATTGTAGGTGTAAATACAATATCTTCTGAGCAGATAACTAATCCATGGCCGAAAACACATTCGATTGTTGCACGTTAGGGTTTTCTACTGTTTCTTAGGCTAGTGATGCTTCTAAATTTCCTACAGTGCAAAAAGAGTCCAACCCAACAAAATATTTGGCTCCAAGTGTCAATCACACTCACGTATGGCTTGACCTCTTTCACTTTACCTCCTCCCATAAGGTGCCTGCTACAGGAGAATCTTGATAAATTGGTTGCCTGTGCTTGCCCCACCACACCATGTACTCACGTATGTGTGCTCTCAAGACTTTAGCTCTGTTTTGCCTATCGGATTATACATTACAACGTGATTTGAAATTTAAAAACATAGAGGCACAACAATTTGCAGAAACCTGCTTTTTTTCTTCCTAAACTGGCCTGTACATAGATGTATTCACTCAGCTAATCGAATCACTAACTCGGTTATATCTTATTGTGTGCTGCTGTTTTCCTAAATCGTTTAATGTGCAGGATACAGTCAGACTCTCTTGGGATTTGAATGGTAAAAGAATAAATTCAAAGAAACTTTCTTCTGTGTCTTCTCTGTCTCCCAAGGGAGGGTGATTTGGGATCATCATTCACTCATTTATTTTCTCATTCAATAGGATTTCTGAGTGATTCGCATATGTCAGGCAATGCTTTAAGTTCTGTGGTTATAGCTGGGAACAAAGCAGGCATAGTGTGGACACACGTGTTTACACTGAATGTAGAGTGAAACCTACATTTTAAAAGCAATTTTCAGGCATTAGAAGTGCTAAGAAAAACATCACAGAGGATTAAGAAATTGGAAGATGAGGGTGTTTAAGTAGAGGGGCTCTTATTTCAGATAAAGTACCGAGAGAATTTTCTTTGGCCTGGGACTTGACTCAGAAACTGGACTGGGGAAACAGGTGCTGGATAATGTTTGCAGAGATGTCTGGAGAGGAATGTGTTCAACCTAGCTGACAGACAGTGTGGTTGCTGAGATGTGCTGGGTGTGTTTTAAAGGCTATAAGGAGGGATCCTGCAGCAAGTGAGGAAGAAAGTGGAAAAAGCCCAGAAGTCAAGGGCTGGTAAACTTAGGAATCAGGGAGCTTTCTTTTATGAATGAGATGGGAAGCCATTAGAACTGTGAAGAGTGAGGTAGCCTGGTCTAATATGACCTATCATTGGGTCATTCTCACTGCCTGAAAGGGCAGCTTAGAGATGATGACAATAATGGGGGTGGTGTTATCTGAACTAAGGATGAGACGGCAATGATGGAAAGAAGAGGCCATCTTTGTCACAAATATAAAAGCATAGCCAGTGGATCAATTCATCTGTTGGTTGTAAGGGGCGGGGGAGGAACCAAGGACAACCCTGGAATTTCAACCTAAGCAGTGGATATAGTTGGAAGGATGTAGTTTTTACATCTTGAGATGAAGCCATCTGCTGAGCAGCATGATTAGGAAGGGACCCCAACAGCTCAGATTCAAGCATCTAAAATTTGTTAGTGAAGGGTCTTGACAGAGATGGTGAGAAGGTTGCTGCATGCAAGATATGCATCTGAACGAAGTCTCACTAACTAGGTAGCTGGTTCAGGATGTAAAATAGTATTTTGGAGTCCTCTACATATAGATGTTTTTAAAGTCTACATATAGATAGATTTTTAACTCTTAAAAAATATTAAGGGTACATCTAAAAACCATAAAGTTCCAAGGACTTAAACTCTGAGACATTTAAAGTACAAAGACAAAAAAAAAACAAATATATAAAACAATCACATAAACAATGGGTAAGGGAGAAGAAAATCCAACATAGAGTGGTAATGGGAAGGACTGTCAGGGACCCCAGAAGACTCAGCTGTAGTGAATGAACATAAACCTCAATGAAATTTGTTTCAAAATAGTTGGAGAATATATTCCCATCCATGTGTGGCTGCTTCCATTTCAGCATGGTAAGGTAGAGAATTTAATTTAATCCTTAATTTTCCCAGGAGACTGAGTAGGGTGGAAGAGTATAGTAGAATTGATAGAAGAAAGTGAGATTATAAGAAGGTTCCTTAGATTCTGCGATTCACAAGAAAAGACAAGAAGATGTGGTAGGTCAGTGAATTGGAGAACTAAGGAATTATCAAACAATTATTATCTGATCTTGGGACTTTTAATCAGAATTACAACTCAAATTGTATCATTAGAGATTATTCATGGACTCTGCTTGAGTAGGGAATTAGTAAAGGATGGTAAATTCATAGATCACTGAAAAATAATAGGACAGTATTATAATCATGGACGAATAATTCTTTTTGTAAAATTTTATTAACTTTATTATAAAAATACTTACAAATAAATTAAAACATCACATACAAAAATTAACAAGACCAAAATTCTACACAACTTAATCAACTCACAGTTATAACTGATATATGTATATAAAGTATTTTATCTATGTATTATTGAAGTCTCTTTTAAATTACTTTCAAATTATAAGTTTATATTCTCAAATATATCATTGCCAGAGAAGGCAACTTTGTCAACATCTCAGAAACAGTCTAGAAAGACTTAAAAAATCAAGTTATCATTAGCCTACTTCCTAGAAGATCTTTGATTTTTAATATCCACTTACCCTTGGAAATATGTTTATAATAGTACATGTTTAGTAGATTATGGTTTCTTAAATAACTTTTATCAATTCTCCTATCAAGTTAACAATTTGATTTTCAAACAGGACCCACAAGTAGTTAGTGCCATCACAGGAATGAAGATATAGTAGATTGGGTAATTTGTTTCCAATGCAGTTCACTTCAAGATCTAGAACTTGACTGCTATCAGTGGTATTGTTACTGACAGGGCATTTGTTACCTACTCAAATAGATTTCCATCCTTTCATTCTCAAATTGAAGTTCCAAAACCCCTTCTCTAGGTCCTTTTCTTCCTCCTGGTTCTTCCCTGTTTTCATCCACATCCCTATTCCCTACACACCTATATAACTAATCTCTAGTCAAGGAAGCCATGTGGTTTCTGGTTTCCTGCCTTGTTCTTGCTTCTCTTTTAAGCAATTAAATTCAGCAAGTTACTGACATTGCCATGTCTCTCTTCTACCTTTTCTCACCTCCCGTGTCATTTCCTCCTCTGCTTCTAGCCAAATTGGATTTCTTTTCATCAGGATCTTGACCCTGATCTCAGTGTCTATTGGAGTAACCAGATCTCTGGCCAATGAATATACACTGATCTGATAAGTAGAAGCACAGCAAATATAGTATATAGTATATATGTATATAGACATGTGTCATCTCTCCTTATTCTATCTTAATTTATATGCTCATTTCACTCTGATAATTAAAGTGTTATGTTTCTAAAAATGATTTATGTAAGTTAAAAAGTAAATTAACATCTATAAGAGTTCTGAGGCTGTTTCCATAAAATATGGAATGAATGAAAGAATGAATGAATGAGCTCAAATAGTGACTTTATTCAGCTTCATAATTGGGTAAAATAAAAGATAAGACATTAATAAGATGAGTATTTATGGATAAACACAGTTAGCAGAATCACAGTTCACTTTTCTTTTAAATATCAACCGGGCAATTTCCCATACTTTGGTTCCCATAGAAGTGTCCTTCCCAATTTTATGATAGTTATTAAATATTTATTTATGCCAATAAAGGTATTGTCTTTACCATTTATCCTTAAAGGTTGAATTAGATTAAAGAAATTTCTTGTGTTGGTTGAGATGCAAGAGAGAAAAATCTAATGACTCTCATTCCCTCCCAGCTCCCATCCTCTTCATGTCTCTGTAGTTCATACTGTAATCACTCCTATAGCCTCATGGTCATCTCTGACATTTTACAGAGAAAGGGTAGGTAAATCTGGGGTACAGTAGGTTTCTGATCCCTCTTTGGTACTAGACATAGTAAGGATTGAGAGAAAGAAATTTTAAGTGTTTACCCATAGGAATAATCTCCCCATATTTTGCATTTTTCTGTATCACATAATCTTGTGTGTTGGACCTGAAAGAGACAAGAAAGACATAGTCTCTTAACATTGGCAAAAAAACAAAATTAAGAATAGTGTCATTGCCGAAATCCTTATGAGCTTGCCATGACGTCTATAAAGCAGGCAAGCAAGCAAGGAAGAAAAAAGTGAGACAAAAGAGCCATGGGAGTCAGCGGATCCACACACCTGCTGCTCATATGCTTCCCTCCCTCTTTTTAGGATTGCAAAGACGACAGGAGAATGGGGGAAATGATGCAAAGTCAGTAAAGTTTTTCTTGTACAAAATTAGACTTTTGCATCAGTTGAAACTGAGTTCTTCCTAAATTTTAAAAGGTGTGCACCTGCAAATGCTTCTGTTCATCCTGTCTGCCAAGAACTAACAGTCTTTAGTGGTGTTTGTCCGACCTTTCTATCCTGCTTGAAACAACCACTACTTTCATGCCGGTCACAGCCTCCTGTTGTCACCATGTGTTTTGTTGGTTCCCATATATGTAATGTCATCCCCACCATCTTTTCTCCATCCCTCATTTCACTCAAGCATGCAGTGTGCTATTTCTCTGCTGCTGTATACATTCTGTATACATTTCTGTTCTTCCTTGCAAGACTGTGAATGCTTCGGCCACTCCAATCGGTGCAGTTATATCGATCTGCTAAACACAGTCATTTGCGTGAGCTGTAAACACAACACTAGAGGGCAGCACTGTGAGTTATGCAGGCTGGGCTACTTCAGAAATGCTTCCGCACAGCTGGACGATGAGAATGTGTGCATAGGTCAGTTCCATTATGATTTCAGCTTTTGTTCTGTGCCTTTGGAGCTATGGGGATCTGGCTAGGGTTGAGAGGCTGGTGATGTGCAAATCGCTGACCAGAATGAATATCATGAATGGAGCAAATATCCTTGTAGTAGACTGAAAATTTGCTTGCATTTGGATAAACTCATGCTTGGTGCGGGAGGGGGGTTAGAATTTGAATCCTAATATTGTTACATTAAAGATGATGTCATGAGAAATCATCTTTAGGAAATTAAGAATATTCGAATTTTCTTTCTCCATTTTCTTTTCTTTCTTCCTTTTGTCTTTTTTTGCATGAAATACTAATCACCTCAAATTGTACATTCAACCTTTAAAATGATAATTAACTATATTCGATATGAAGCTTTGTGGTAGAGATTTGAGTATAATTGATGATCTACAACTATTGGTACATAAAAATGTTGCCAATAAGAATTGAAAACTACTAGCAAGTTCTAATGCAGACGTTTGTCTACCTTTTCCATCTACAATAATGAAATTCCATTTATTGGATTTTTCTATTGTTCCCCAAAGATCAAGCAATTTCTCAAAACTTCTCCCGGTTATATATTGTTAGATTATAAGATACATTAACCCTAGAAAATAGAGTTCTGGGATGGGAGATCCCTCGCCCGTGACTAATTCTTCTCACCTGGAAAGGATCACTCACGTGTTCCTTCTTTTCTGAAAAGCTTCTACTTTCTCTGTAGAAGGACCTGATGCTAAGGAAGGAGATCTGGAGGCAAGCTTGACTGGGAACACTTGTAATCTGTACAAGTAGCAAATGAATGCAAAAATGTCAGGATTTTTAAGGCAGGCCTTAGCTATATAGTGAATGGAGACCAGCCTGCATTGCATGAGACCCTACCTCGAAAACAGTGGAGGAAGAAAGCCTAATAGAAAAACAATAAATGGGATTTCATTCTATAGTGTTCTCTGAAAATGCAACTGTTGGAAGCGTGATGTCTGTTACTACACCAGCAGTTATACAGGCCACCATTCTTAAAGACCAAGTTTCCAACAGAGACAAGGTTCAGTGGAGTTTGTAAGTTGGAAGAGTAGAGCATACAAGATGGAAACTGACAAGTAATCTTTTCATTAGAAAGAAAAAGAAACAGTTTTCCAGTTCAACTATATGTCTAGGATCCCTGTTTTCTGCCTGTGGTGTGACAGTCACAGAGATTCTTGCCAAATATCACTAATTAGCTGTATTATTGTGAGTTTATTTGGACCAAATATGCACAAATATACTGTTTATGTTTGCAGTATTTTCTATTTTTCAAAGTGCTTCCTTATTTGTTATCTGTGAATTAGTGGAGAAAGCACTGGAGTTAGATGCTGGAGAGCTGGGTTCAAGTCCCAACTTGCTATTCCCTAGCTGTGTGCCTTAGGTAAGTCCTTTAACCCTCCTGGCTTGTTTGTAAGCAAGTGGACAGGAAAAACATTCGGCAAAGTATGTACTAACCTACCTGCAACTTTAAAAAGAAACAAAAGACAAAAATTCTCATTAACAAAATAGTAGGGTAAGTATTATAAATAAAAACTTTTCCTTTTTCATACCTGAAAAAAAGACATATTGACCCAACTTTCACACTCTTAGCAAAGACCATCCTGACTCCATACTGAACACTCCCTCCTAACCACTCTGGAACAGCTAGCAAAACTAAAGATGCCTAGATTTTAACTCTAGTATGCTTCTTGTAGGACAGCAGCCCTCCCACTGATATCTTATGAGCAGGAGTCCAATTACCTTTCCAACACTTGGATTACAAAGACTTAGGGATAGTAATAAGAACCAGAAGATGCACAGCTGCCTGAAATTTTGAGCACAGGAAATATTCTGCTAAATCCCACTTGTGAAAATACATAAACATCATGCTATAAATATAGGAAGAACAGAAAAGATAAAGTTAATAGGAATACTGGAATAAACCCTAACCCGTTTTTTTCTAAATACAAAATACATGAAATTAAAATGTTTCAATTTAAATATTTTAAATAAAGCAAAGCAAAAAAAGACATTGCAGAGGAAGATTGGATATTTAATTTGTGAGGCCCTACTATAGCAATTGAGAACTAATTTTAATGCTATTAGTACAGAAAGAACTAATGAAATCAAATGGATATTTGCTTAAGTCATTCTCACTCACTGGGAACTAATCTCAGATACTTTAAATTCTATCTGCATCATCTCTAAATTTAAAAAAAAAGCTTTTCAAAAGACACCTTGCAAATTCTTTAGCAATTGGCAGTTATATGCAGTATCCCAACTTTGAGGGAATATCTCACATCTCTCATCTACCCAAGGTCTATCAAGACATCTTAAAGTCATCTTGTACTATGGCAGATATGCAATGCTAGTTCGTGTTGCTATGGTGATTGCTGCATTGTAGTTACTATTGTTGAATTTACCCAGCTTTCATGCAAACTCCAAACACAGTCGTGTCTTTGGGGATGCATGACATTTCCCCCTGATGATGCAACAATTACATGATGGCATCTTTGCGTGCTTCTGATGCTCGAGGACACATGGTTTCTGACCTTGGGTAATCACTGTTAATAATTCCCCTAATAAGCTTTGCATCAAAAACACGAGGCTTAGCAGTTGCTACTAAACATATCTCAAAGTTAGGAGGCATTATTTTTAATTCTCCTTGAAACCCAGCATCAGGTAATCAGAGGTAACTTACACAGAACAAAAGGAAACTCAAGATGATTTTAATGCCCATAAAGAAATTGTACTGTAAAGCTATAATACTTTAATTGAGCTGTGCAAAGTATTTTATGCTGTTTCATAATCTGACAGCCTGTATTTTCCTCGTCATTTCAGCAGTCCTCACTCCCCATCTACCACTGAATAGAGCTTCACACATCTGAAAAACTGAATTATTTGTGTGCAAGGTGAAGGAGGGAAAAGCTTATGTCTCCTTGCCATTTATTTTCCTGACTAAGATTTCATTTGCTAGCTTTCTTATAGCAAACACTGGAACATAGTATGGTTTAGGTGTTGGAGATGTAGTTTTAAATTTTGTTAAAAACCTATCTTATTGACCAAGGAGAAGTAACTGGAACAGCATGTGATCCATAATGCCCAGATATAATTCTACTAATTGACTTACAAAATAGCAGTGCCTCATCATCAATGGATACATTTTATCAAGTGAGAATCATTCCAGTGTAGCCCAAACTCAGTGAACACAAATGTCCAAACATGAAAATTTTAAACTATTCCTAGGCATACATTAGAATAGAAGATGCCACTTCAAAAGCCTGGTTATTAAATACAAGTCAAGCCACGAAAAGAAGAAATGTTTTGAAATTTTGTTTTTGCCTCCCCCCCCACATTGTTAGTTTTATAAATGTTTGTTTCATGAGAATGTTTAGCTCAAAAACCTGACTTAATACAAAATAAATCATAATTTTAAGTACTGACTACATAACATTTGAAGAAATTTTCATTTGTCTCAATGACAAAGTTCGAACAAAAACCTCCCGGTCTCTTCATCATGATAACTCCAAAGTCTCATTGCCAGTGATATGAGCTCAGTTATAATTAAGCTAAACTCCACAGGGCTTCAGTCAATGGGTTACTATATGATTTTCTTTTAATTTTGAGCAAGAGAACATTATAAAGAATCCATCTTAAAAAAAATTGAGAAACAGAAATCCATAGCAGCCCAGCCAAGATCTCGCAGCATGGGAGCAAGAAAAGGAAGAGCGGTTCTGAAATCCCTTGCCACAAACCACCCGAGTGCCTCAAGCTGGGGGAACGATGTTTCCCAGTTCCAACTTCAGCTTTGAACACTCTAGAGGTTCAGACATTAAGATGCCCTGCCAAGAGTCTGTGAGGACTCAAGGAATCATTTTTATTATGCAAGAAAGTTACTTTGCCCTGCGAACAAAGTTGCAATGAAAAATATATATCTCAACGTTTGTCTTTGTTGAGATTTATCTGGGAGTATGAAATTTATTTGTCTTTCATGGTTGTTCATAAAAGCTATGTGATCATGCTCAGCAAATACCAGCTCTAAGGGCTCATCTCAAAGTAGGCTCTACATGAATAAGTTAAGGCACCATCCCAGATCGTGAAGCAAAACTACCTTTAAATGAGTAAAGTGCACCCATATTGCACTTGAAGATGCTCAGCCATTCTCAGATATTGAGTGTAGCAGATAAACCCATTTGAATAATTTAAAACAGGTTTTACACTGATGGAATATTGATTTATCCTTGATATACACACTTCTCATGACATTCATTAAACAATCTAAAAAATGCTCTAACAAATGGAAACTCCATTATGATCTGTTACTGGTGAAAGCATGATGTCTTATTTCCTTGGAAGGGTTCAGATATTTTCCTCCCATATCATAGAAACGAGGCCATGGAAGGCTGAGCAAGTAAATAAATGGCCCTGAAATAGGCAGACTTGCCAAAGCATTTCATTAATGGGCATCTTCCGCTAAGTAAGTGAATGCATCTAAGTAAATGAAGCTCCTGTGTTGATAACCTCTAAGCCATGAGAAGTGTCTCCAGCCTGTGTGTTGTCTTGTTTCTACAGAGTGTTATTGTAACCCTTTGGGTTCAGTCCATGATCGTTGTAATGGCTCAGGATTTTGTGAGTGTAAGACTGGAACAACAGGGCCTAAATGTGATGAGTGTCTGCCAGGAAATTCCTGGCACTACGGCTGTCAACGTAAGTAAATGTGGGAGCTGCCCTCTGCCTGCTGCAGCATGGCTGATTCCGCTTGTCTAGGCTGGTGTGTGCAGCATCTCAGAGCAGAAAAAGACCCAACCAGCTGATAAGCTCCAAAGGCTACTAAGTGCCCCAGCCTGCATGAAGGAGAGTAATCTATCAGCTGTCCACTGGCTCCCCTGAAGCTTGCCTGATTGTCCTCTGATGGCTAGTGCAACTTACATTGAAATATTGTATGGCAATGCATATACCTGGTCGGACCATAAATTAAGTGGCGCAATAGGGAACCCGGCTTGGAAATCCTCACCACAAAATGAAGTGCGATGTGTATGTGGTTAATATATTTCCTGCACTGAAAGCTACCGTGGAACTGCATAGTTCATAAATTCCACAATATCTACATAACTTATAACCACCCTTGCTATCATGTCCATCACTGAATCTTAACCTGGATCCCGAAGGTAATCAGTCTTAGGCATATGGAAATAGCACGGTAAAAATAAATGGCCAAAATCAATAGTGGTCAAAAGCAGGGTTTGGTGTCAGAGAGTGAGTCCAGCCTCATTCCTCTGGGGACTAGCAAGTCTTCTCAGAAGCTCGTTAAGCAGGTGGCATGCAGGTCGGTACATGCAATCGAAATGCTCAAATCTGAGCAGAAGCTTCTGGCCCCCCTTGTAACTTTGTCTGCCTTTTAATTCTTTATTCACTTCCCTTTCCGTGTCTATAAACTTACAAATATGAAATGCCCACAAGCCTCGTCCTCTGAAGCAGAGATAACTGATAAAAAAAAAAATAGAGCAAACCGCAGAGGCCATTTCAGTTGTACCGCCCTCACGAATCAAAGATAAAGAGGTTTCCACAGCTGACTTTTATACATAGCCTTAAATATGAAGGATATTATCATTTGAACATGTAATTAGTATCAAAATTACTGAAGATATATATTCTAATTTTTATGGTC